TTTAAAAGAGGCTTTTTGAAAAATTCCTATTTGTTTGAAATTCCAAAGAAGATGAAGAGATAACTGAAAAGTTCTTGTCCCCAGCTAGAAGTGGACTCTGCTGAGTCGGGCATGGTGACTGTCTTCATCCTCTCGGCTGAAGATTATGTGACCTTAACTTGGGCTTCATCTGTTATCATCCCCAGGCCCGTTGCTGGTTTTAGATGTACTAGATTAAAACATGGAATGCCCCTCTAGACCTGTCTTTGGAATGTGGCTCACTTGCTTTCTGAGCTGGTATAGAGTTAATATGAATTCTTTGAAATTCAGACGCACTGATAAGCCATTTGCGAGGTACACTGAGTTATCGGATTGCACATACATGTAAACATAACGATTCAAATTCCCCAGACTAAAGAAACTGATGACATACCTCGTGATTCGGGGCAAGCTGTCACATAGAAGCTTGCCCCAAATCACGGGGTACAGCAACAGCAGTTTTAGTATTGAGAATGCAAATTGTTAATGTATGTTGATGTGAATTTTAAAAAGTCAGTGTACCAAATTTTATTCAAATTTTACTCAAAAGGCTTACTGGGTTGCTAAATATAAGTTTTGTTTGTTTGTTTGATTGTTTGTTTATAAAGTACATACAAATAATTCCAAGAAAAACACAACATGATAGTTGGAAAGGGTGTGCCGTTCAGCGAAGGTCTAGCCTCCTGTATTTGATACACTCAAATGCTGTTGACAAATCACAAAATATCAAATAAATACGGTCACATGATCATATGTTAGGCTTACAGCCCAAATGTTAGAAGTCAAAATTTCATGTACCACTGAGAAAGTGTTTCAAACTAGTCGGTGTTGTTAAAAGCCACCAATTTGACTGGACATCCTGGATACCAACCGACAGGAACTCGTTAACCACCCGAGGTATTGATCAATGTCCAGTAATAATGCAGAGACTCTCATTCTATTTCTTTCGTAGGGACTACGGACAGTTTTTACACAGCAGCAACTACTGTCACAGAAGATGGAACGACCCCCTTTCTAGATTATTGGAATACCACCCCATTTGAAGGTACAGGAGCTCATTAAACACGTACATTCATCCTTGACTACTCGCTTTCTCAGGCTTGTATTTGGGATCACATTTACTCGTTCTAAACATTTGCGCAT